CTCACCTCTTCATGTCCTCAATTGTCAATGGTTCGTTCTAGTTACACTGACAGTCACAAATAATCTTAACTAATGTGCACAGTCTGAGTCGATAGAAGCCATGATAATGAGTTCACCTTTCAAGTCTTCTGGTTCTTGAGTCGTTCGTTCATCACATGACAGAATGACTCAAACCCGATGGAAGACTCGAGAGATGGTTCAAATCTTTGTCTGAGAATGAATAACTCAGACCCGATAGAGGACTCATGAGGTAAACAGATCAATTCTTTTTTCGGCTCTAAATGCATATGATTGGCCCGTGATGAACAAATGACTCAGAACCGATAAAGGACTCGAGAGGTGAACGGATCAATTCTTTTTCTGGCTCTAAACGCATATGAAAGGCCCGTGATGAACGAATGACTCAGACCTGATAGAGGACTCGAGATATGAACGGATACTTTTTTTCCAGCTCTAAACACATATGATTGGCTTCTGCCTTTTCGCGATGAACGACTCAAAAGACTTGAAATGAACGATACCACATGCACAAATGTGCACACACGGGGATGAACGAATCACTCCCTGAGAGGACTCGTAGTTCCCGAGTCATATTGAAGATTCGTTTAAAATGAATGAATCGATCATGAACGACCCATCGCTAGTAAAAACCTACAATCTGGCTGATCGTTATCTGTCTGAAGCGAGGATGGGGTTCATTGTGAAAGTGTTGCAACATAGGCTCATTCTGAAAACGTAGCCCTACATACAATGCTGGAGATTGTAAATTATTTAGCCAACTGTAATATATAGTATAGCTACATTTCACCTTTAAAATGAACGCTATGGGGCAGTGTGACACTGTTCCTTTTTGCACTTACCAGCTGACCGCGTACCTCTGTGTGGACAGCTTTTCCGCTGTTACCAGTTGGTCCAGTGGCTCGCCGAGTATGTCAGAGGATTTGAGATGCAGAGCGTAGTTGACTGTGACAACAGGTTCATGTGTGGTGAAGAACAATTTCAGAAAGCGGAAAATAAAAACAAAAGGCAAAAAATAAAACAAACAAGTAAATAACGGAGTGAGATTGTAGTAAAATCTGAAAATGTGGTAAAATCATTGGATTTACACAAGCAGAGCGGGCACGAATGGCACTCAGAAAAGAAATTTGAGTTCTCAAAAAGTGTACACAACGGCCTCTGGTGGATTCCAAAAAAAAAAAAAAAAAAACTGCAAAAAAAAAAAAAAAACGTAGCTCCTGGGACAAATTTGGTGCTCTCCAGAAATGTATATAGTGGTACATATTCCAAATGAGCCTGGGTTGAGGTTTTGCTGAATCATGTGTTTATAAGATTTCATTTGTCACTTCAGGTTTCTCTCACAATCATTATTTCTCATAGTTTCATAGCTTTTAAAATACTATATATCAGCTAGCTGGGGGTAAAAAAAATAAAATAAAACAGCATCCAAACACACAAGCAAGTAATAATTTTCCAAGTCCAAATTATTCACGGTAGTGAAGCCTAACCTCTTTGAATTAATCACAAAAGATTGGGTGCAGCATGCAAATGAGAAAATTAATTATGCAAAACACATGGTAAGCAAGTCTCTCCCTCAACGAAGATGGCAGGGCTTATTTAAATATTTGAAAAAGATTTTTGCTCTGAGTCCTTGCGCTATGAAATAAAGAAAAGAAGCCATGTTACATTTTGTAGCAAAAGCAACGTTTATTTATTTCTCTAAAATCAGAATTTCCGTTCTATTGATTCCAAGAACGGTTCAAAGGACAGCGCAGGTCATTACCGTTACATCCACATCCACTTGTGTTGCTTTATCAAAGCACTGCTAAATTGCTCTGTATCCGTGTTCTCTGCTGAGTAAATAATGTGTTATACAGGCTCATTATAAGCAGATTAGATCTATTAGTTACCGCTGCGCTGCTCTCAAATCAGCTGCCCATAGGAGAGCAGAAAATCATTTTAAACTTCAATAAGTTACAAGCAGTGGCAAGCCTCTCCATAATCCACACTGCCCCAGGCAGCAATAAGACTGGATGCAATTATGCAGACTAAATTCAACACAAACAAAAGAAATGGAAATTAGCCTTAAATAAAACAAAAAAGGCAAGAGAGGAGTAGAGAAAACAAGTTGGTCTCTTGCTGTCTCCCTCTCGCTTTTTCTTTCATTCCGAAATATCACATTGTGCATTTCAAAGCATTGTGTAAAGATCTCGCGGCACAAACATGTGGGATTGTTAAGGTAAATTAGCCTTCTCCCTGAGATGCTGTGCGTGGTTCATTCATGTGCATGCAGGCAACAAATGTATGACACATTTTTAAATATTCCATCACATCAAGCTCTGTGAACAGAACTGCAAGTATAAAATAGCTGTGTCACATTTGTAGGTAGACTTTTACAACAAAGCCTTGGGAATTTGAAATGGCTTTCGGTGTGTGCTAAACTCCAGGGCTGTGCTATTTCTTATGCCTTGGAGTTGAGCATATAAGATTGCTGTGTCACTGTATGAGGACATGATCACACGAACAGAAACTCAAGTGTCTACACAACAATTTGTTAAAATAGCTTAAAGAAAATTGTGGCAGAAATATATTGCTGTATAATTTATAATGTTAGAAAAATACTAATTATTTCATAGATGTAATGAATTGTAAATTAAGATTCATTCATTCATTCATTTTCTTTTCGGCTTAGTCCCTTTATTAATCTGTGGTCGCCACAGCAGAATGAACCGCCAACCTATCCAGCACATGTTTTACACAGCGCATGCCCTTCCAGCTCAACCTATCACTGGGAAACACCTATGCACACTCATTTACACACATACACATACAATTTTATCATACCCAATTCACCTATAGCGCATGTCTTTGGACTGTAGGAAAAACTGGAGCAAAACTTACGCTAACACGGAGAGAACATGCAAACTCGACACAGAAACGCCAGCCGAGGCTTGAACCAGCAACCTTCTTGCTGTGAGGTGATTGTGCTACTCACTGTGCCACCGTGACGCCTGTAAATTGAGATAACACTGTAAAAAATATTATCTTACATTTTAATTATTATATTTTTTTTTAATTGGACAGGGGAGCAGTGGGGGCGCATTTAATAGGGCCCTCCAATTCTTGTTCTTGTAATTATTCATATTTATGTAAACATACAATGTAAACATACAATTTTTGCTTGTGTGTGTGTGTGTTATGTCTCTAACTGTGTCTCTGACCAAGATTTTTGCACTCTGTGCTTAAACTAATGTTTCCCATGAGGTCATTTAAAAAAAAAAAGTATTTGTGTGCCTGTGAACCCCAAGCAGCTTTATAGAGCTAATGATATGCCAAAACAATCTGAATTTGAATTGTGTTTATTTAAATAATTGATAATTGTAATTTATTCAATTTGTGAATTTTTATATATCATTAAAAATGGTTTTGAATTTTTTTTATTTGAATTTCATAACTTGAATATTGAACATCTGAAATTTAAGACAACTGATTTTTTTCAAGGCATAATTTTTTATAGACTTATTTTCAAACTTTTTTATGTTTTGAATTCCTAGACATTAGGCTAGATATGAAAAAAAAAAAAACACACACCTATCTTACCTATTACCCCCAACCCCCCTGTAATTCACACCCTTTAATTCATCCATAACCATGAATCAAGCAGAGATGAGTGATTCTTATCATCTCTTCCCTGTTGATGGCTGACCAACTTTCTGAGCTGAATCTTAATTTCACAATCTGAAAATCTGGTTTTGAATTTTAAAATATTGAATTTGATGTTTTGAATTTCTTTATCTTAAAAACTTGAAACTGTATTTTTACAAACGCTATCTGCAGTCAAGGAATTCAGAACACACAAAAAAGTTTGAAAATACGTCTATAAAAATGATGCCTTAAAAATTATTTGTCTTAAATTTTAGATGTTTAATATTCAAGTTATGAAATTTAAATTAAGAAATTCAAATTCAAAACCATTTTTAATGGCATATAAAAATGATGTTTTATTAAACTACAATTGTAAATAATTCAAATGAACACAATTCAAATGTCTTGGCATATTATAAAGCCTGATTTATACTTCTGCGTCAAACGTCGGCGTATGCTACGGCGCTGACGCATAGCCCTTCGCCGTGGCCATCGCCGTCGCTGACGTGCACCTCTCAAAAAATGTAACTACACGTCGCAACGACGCGTAGCGTAAGCTCTGTGATTGGTCGGCTTGGTAGCGCTGACGAGTCTGGGCGGGACCGAGAGGCGCAAGAATGGCGCGACGCCGCGCGAGCGATTGTTTACAAGTGTGGAGTACCGTGAAGGAGCTCCGGATGGAAAGTTTTGTTTTGTGTTTACCTCATAGTTAAATTTGTTGCACGTCCGCCGGTTCCTGCCTCAAAATGAGCGAGTTTGAGCCACTTGTACATCCCGGAAGTGTTCAGGAAATGCAAAAAAGTAGCGAAGAAACTCGACACAGAGGAACATTTACACCTCACTGCCAACTAGCGTTTCGGAAGTGTTAATGCAGACCAACAGAGACAGCGCGCAGAAGTATAAATGCACAGCCACGCGCGTTGCCTGCGCCGTGGGTTACGCCGGTTACCTGACGCAGAAGTATAAATCAGGCTTTAGATCCATACAGCTTTACCTGTATGCATCAAAAAACTCAACATGTTTTTTGAAACTTATATTGTTTTGTTTTTCAAAACAAGGGATGTTTTAATTATTTGATTATGAAGCTGTATTTTCCCATAATTTAAACTCTCTAAATAAACATTTAAGAATATTTAGCTTTAAAGTTAAATCATATGACTGTGAACATATGTATAATGTTTTATTTTACGCATACTCTTACTGTTATAAATGTCATATTCTTTCCATCAGTCCACGATGACATCTTGGGTTTGAAGCATAGACTGTAAAATATTGGGTTTGAAGCATATAGGTTTGGACTGAAATGGACCCGCCCACCAAATGACGTGTTTAGATTTTCCCTGCAGTGAATAATTTGTGATTGGCTGAATCGCGCATCCATTTGAAGTCCACGAGACTGAACCAGGAACTACGGAGAGGATTCTTTCCCTCTTTTTAGTGGTAAGTCTGTGCTCTCTGACATAACGCTATCGTTTTACACAGCTAAGCGATTTGTATTGTGTTTAGATGTCGGTCACTGACCTGGGAAAACAGAAAGCATAATTTATAGCGATTTGTCGCGCTTTTAAAGCTTCCTGAAAAATCCAAACATTGGCTTACGATTTAGCTCCCGCCCCCGCACAGTGTGTGATTGGTCGAGCCTTTCAGTTTCCGTGTTATGATTGGATAACTCCTCAGACTGTCAGAGCTTCAGCTCAGAGTGCAGGAACTGGATGATGCGTTTGCAGGATGGAAACAGTATATCTGATGCAATTGCATTACGTGGCATTCCAGTGATCCGAGTGTTTATTTATCTCATTTTTTTAAATCGCATTTTGGAAGAACTTACAATACGATTTAATTATTGCATGTTTGTATTCAATGTGTTGCATGTGATGCCTGTTTTATACCGCATATAGTGAGCATCACTGAAATAACGTATATTGTCTATTTATGTCAGATAAATTCAGCTCAGCTCTTTTTTCAGCTTCTGGCTGCACTTGTGGTAACCTTTTTGAGCACTTGGTTACTAAAATGCATAATGCTGTCTATTTTTTTTTTTTTTTTTTTTTTTTAGAATTGCCTGAGGTGCTTATTTTAATCTTAAATCTCTTTCAAACTGAAACCTTTGTAGTTCAGCTTCTGAAAAAAGGATTCTAGTCTCAATTTGAGTCTTCAAAGCGCAAGTACACATAGCCCTTGGCGATCTCCCTCTATTTGTGCATCGACCACATCTCACCCAACTTATGTTGTCTGCAATTTGAAGTGTTATTTTTGAACATTTTTTTCCTACACATTGGGGTGTGCATGCTTTATGTGTCATAAATAGTTTAATATATTCAGTAAACACAGACTTGATGTAATTAGGTTAAGTCTGTTTGTTGTGATTTTATTTTAGTCTGCAGTTCTGAGTCAGCATCAGAGTAATCGCTGTTCAAATCTCAAACTTTGTAACCTGTAGCTTCCCGATCTCCGATTGAATTATCACCACTTTAAAAACCCTAAGGGTGTATGGGCAGAAATAGGACTGAAGTTTCTAAAAATGGGCGTGCTTGCCCATTAAAGGGATCGTTTATCCATTAATGAAAATATCCTTTAAATACACTCATCCTCAGGCTATCCAAGATAATATTTCTCAGAAGGTCAGTTCTTGCAGAATCCATTGTCCTCTCTGATTCAATGACTACTGGCACTTTGAGAATAAAAAAGACATATATCGGAAAAAAAAGAAGTTGGCTTCAATTTTGTCTTCACGATAATTGAATTTATTTAGATGTAGAGCCATCTTCACAACAACCGTACATGCGAGGTTCCAAGAGCATCAGGAGATGAATAGTGAATAGTAGATAATATACAAAACAGTGGAACAGGTATTCCAATTAAAAGTGATTAAAAACGATGTCAAAACGTTTAAGGACATATCTCTCAAATTTATGGATTAAAATGACAGTATACAGTAATTGAAGTAATTAAAAAGTTTTTTTTTTTGGTTCTTTACACCTGTAAGTTAATGCACAAATACATGTGAGCACCAGTGCATTTCTATAAGAGAATATGCTCAAATTTTGCTTTAGATCATACAAAGCACAAATGAAAACAAACCACATTTAAATGTGCATAAAGTAATACACTTCCCATTTTTAACGGCTATGTGGTTGACGTTTACACTATATTCACATTCTTTCACATGTAGGCAGTGTGCAAATTACACATTGATGATCGGAGGGGGGTCAACTTTTTTGGTAATGTTAGTTTTTTTTTTAATACATGCTTTAGTGAATCAAATTTATATATTTATTTAAATTGCATAATTTATAAATAAAATGTATAATGTAGAAGTTTTCAGTGTTTTAAGGCTAATTTTGTGTATTCTGACCTACAGTATCCGATTAGCTACTTTTGAGGTTACTTTAAATCAAACTATGCATCTAATTTGACTTTACTTTGAAGGCTTTATGTAGAAACAAACAGCTATTTTTCGTGTGAACGGTAGCATTGTTTATCGGTGCTCTAGATCTGCCGGTTTCAGATTGTTGAATAAGTTTTTTCTCACCGACTGATTGGCGGGATTTTGTAAACACTGTGGAATAAACCATTATAGCGGTGGTCAAATGTATATATATTATTAATTCGATTTTTTTTTATATATTCATTTTAATTATTAACATTATTATTTAAAATACAAAGCAGAGAAAAGTATTTCTCAGTATTAAGAAGCTGACCCCCCCCCCCCATACATGTTGTTTTGATCAAGCTTTAATTGAGGGGGTCAGTTCCCCCAAACCCTTCTGTAATTCGCACTCTGCATGTGCTGTAGGTTCAAACTAAAAATAGATTGAGTTCAACTAGTTACTATAAGGTTACAATTGTAGTGCTTTTAGGGTGTCGGTGCATTTAGTCCTAACCAAGGGCAACAAATGATACATTGTAGCATTTTTCTGCCGTTTTTGGGATCCTTTTCACACCACACTGATTGCTTCGGTCCAAACCAGTTAAAAAGAACCAAAATGCAGTCATGTGACAAAATCCACATCAATTATTGGCCTGATGTTATTGAACGTACAGTATTTCCTATACAAAACTGCTTTTTGATTGGTCAGAATTAACATGTGGGAAAATGGCAATGAACTCTCCTCCAAGTAAACAAATCGGCTGACACAAAATGTGACGACTGCGCTGGCTGACTGTATCTCTGGTCATCGTATATTATATAGTTTGTAAACATCACTTTTGAAAACCTATACATTTTGAGAATGAAGCGCAGCTGTGGCTGGAAAACAATGTTTAAATGCATTGCAAACGGCGAAGGCACATCGCGAGTCACTTTAAGAGGAGTCGTGAATTAATTCAGCTAAACTGCAACATGGTTATCTTTCAGAAATATTACCAATGATCCATTAGGTGTTTTTTCTCTTCTGGGAGGCCTCGGTACGCTTTTTTGGTCTGCTTTTGGTGCGCAGTTGAGTGCGATTGCTACATTCACACGGTCTGGATTGTGTGACTCCTGTCACAGTCTCACATGTGAACTAATACTGCTTGCTCATATTGGAGAATGAGGAAGATTTGCTTCATAACATCAACGTATTGTCTGTATAGCCATGGACATTAATTTTGTTTTGCCTCTATATGTTTTTTTTACTCTGACTGTTGAATTGCATTTTACAAATCACCAAAGACCATGGCTTCAGCTCAAATTATTCTACAGAAGAGAACAAATTTTCTTTTTTTTTTTATCTTGGATGACCTTTATCTTGGCGAGTAAATTAACAGCAAGTGTTCATTTTGGGGTGAACCCTTAACAGCCCTTGTCAACTTCCTTTAGTGGTTACACTCATTACAAAGGAAGCGTTTGGTCATTGTAGGTCATGCCTTGGGGCTTGACTCAAACCATGTTGTGTAAACACAGTAATGTTCCTCTTCCTCTAGCATCTTCGGAAAAGTAATTGATTCCTTTTTGTCCCACTTAGATGTTGCTTGTGAAGCCCTTGTAATTACATCAACTTAAAGCGCAGATTAAAGACATCAAAAAGTAGGATGCTAAGATGACCCTCGAACTCACTTTACATAGACAGCCTTAGGGAATGAGGTTTGGCTTTCACATTCATGCCTAAAGAGAAGATGAAAACAGGCTCGTAATTCTGTGTTTTCATGCACCTCTGCACTTCCTCCAGCTCTTCTCCGCTTCCATGCTAATCAGTCTGGGCTCTCAGTACAGAGCCTGCACACCTTTCCTCAGGAGATATCTGGCTTATGAGCCAAAATGGATCAGGTCGAAGGTCTGCAGCTCGATTTCTCTGGGAGAGAATAGGTCAGAGAGGTTTAAACATCATCAGAAACATAGCCTTGCCCTTTGGCTCATGTGCCCTTTTTCCCAGTCTTTAACAGAAGAAGCAGTATTGATTGCAAATAGTATTGTGAGGAGTGCAGAATCTTGATAAAGGACTCCCTGACCACCTCACAATAAAAACAGCTTGTGAGACTAGAAGTATGGCTAGTGCTTTAATGCACTTAACCCATTACCAATTTTAACATTTCTTGCCTTCCAAACTAACCATTATAACATACATCACAAGATAAGGCGCCTTTTTTTCTTCTCCTCCGGTCTTTTTTCACTTCAGTTGCTATGGAAATCAATCTGAGATCTCTATCGGGAAAGTCTGAGTAGTGTAAAATGAGATGGAGTGCACGCTCCTTTAATATAAATGGACAATCTTTGCAGTGTTAAACCTACTTTAACATTACATCGAATGATCAGATACTGTACATTCAAATACTTGGAAAAAACGTAGGAAACCTTTTTAAAAAAGCTTCCAAAGGGAAGTTTTGTTCTAAAGTTATAGAAGAATGATCTAGAGTTCCACTGAGAATCTTTTGGTGAAAAATTTGGTGAAGAATATTTTAAGTGTGACGAATATTTTAAAACTTAAAAGAACCTTTTTGGAAATTTAAAATGTTCCTTGTATGTTAAAGTTTCTTTATTTTTTGTGTCTATGGAAATTTAAAATTTTTTTTTTTTTTGAAAATGGTTTCATTTATACGATTTTAGTTGTACTTTATAATAACCATCATGCAAATTACTTCAAATATTTTCTCAAAATTAAATATCATTTATTTTTTTGCATTAGGCATGGGCCGGTAAAAGATTCTGACTATATGATAACCTTAGATAGATATATGACGGTTTCACGGTATTGTGATTACTGCTCTAAAACATATTCTTTTTAAATGTCTGGGTAAAAATCAAAAACTTTCCCCCTTTTGAACTCCAATATATTTTATATACATATTTTGGAACAGTAAACATGTCAGGCAAAATAATTAAAATAAACTGTTTACTTCTGCTGTCTGTATTAGTTTCTAAAACACAGATTTCTTTACAATTTAAAATGGCTTCTTTGGATATCTTTTCTGCTGGACATACTGTTGTCCTAAAAAACTAAAAACAAAAAAACATTAAACGA